GAGGTAAGATTTGGAATCTCTTAAGGTTTATGAGAAGGTGCTGGGGAAACGATTCTGTGTTAAATACAGTGTCGTACTCCAGAAGAGGAGAATGACAGACCCTGACTGAAATGCTCACTGTGCTCGTCAAGTTAGAGAGTGATGAGTTCTGGGAGTCAGGGGAGGGGAAGTTATCCATAATAATAAAAGCATAATATGCTAATTAGACCAGACGTCCTTCCAGATGAAGCCAGGGCTGCAGCCCTGGGATCCAGGCAGCCACCGCGGCTGTGAGGGAAGGATCCAGGCAGCTGCCGTGGCTACGAAGGCCTACTGTTGCACGAATTTTGTGCATCAGGCCTCTAGTTTTGAATGAAAACCTCTCCTTTTGGTTTTCATACCTGCCAACCCTCCCTACGTTCTTTCCTTCTATACACAGAGCTTAATGAGCCTAAACGTAGCACATTCCCTTTTGAAAATCTACATTCAGTCCCTCTAGTTCATAAGCTACATGTCCAAGGTTCTGTGTCCGGGACAGTCCCTCTACTTATGCTTTAAGTAGAGATGCAGGTAGTCTTTGAGGAAACTTTATGTTTATGTTCAGAAACTGAGTTCCCTTCTTTATGGTTTAAAATTTATATATATATTTGAAATACAAAGCAATCTTTGAAGTAGGCTAGAAGCCAGCTAAAGCCACATGGTCACAGAGCAGGCTCTTTGTAAACACCAGTGACTGGGGGAGGGGCTGGAGGGGACGGTGTTCTGTGGGTGTCCACTCACCCTGTTCTGAACGGGCTGTAAGTGTTCTGAGGGCTGCTTAGCTTTGCCATTCAAGGTAATGGGGGAGGTGATCTTCCTGTTTACTGCTACAACAAAAGGCTTCTGGTTCAGGAAATTAGAGGAGCATGTGAAATTTAAACACCAATATAAAACAAGTCTCTGAAATATCCCCCTTGAGTGTTGATATTAATTATTACAGGAGAATTTTAACCTCAGAACCCAAGCCTCAGCTTCTGGACCTCGAATCTGAACCAAATGATGAAAGAATTTGTTCATAGAATATTTTAAATTTCACTTTAGTTGTTTTCACAAAATACAGAGGCTCAGTGGCCTTATACTAGCTTACTAGGTTTTTATCATCTAGAGAGACTGTAGAGTTACAAAGGCTTTTGATGATCTCGAAGGAAAAATTTTGAAGAGTAAACATGACTTTTTAATATCCTGGCAGGGGAAATATTTTAAAGGTAACACTCAAGCTTACTTTTCAGAAAGAATTGCTTTTTTATTTAAATACTAGAGGCCCGGTGCACAAAATTTGTGCAGGGGGAGAGGGAGAAGGGGTCCCTCAGCCTGGCTTGCAATCCGGGATCCCTCGGGGGATGTCTGACTGCCGGTTAGGCCCAAGCCCTGTGGGAAATCCCTCTCACAATCTGGGACTGCTGGCTCCTAACCACTCACCTGCCTGCCTGATCACCCCTAACCACTCTGCCTGCCTAATCATTCCTAACCGCTCTCCTGCTTGCCCGATCACCCCTAACTACTTGTCTGCCTTCCTGATCGCCCCTAACTGCTCATTTGCCTGCCTCATTGCCCCTAACCACTCGCCTGCCTGCCTGATCACCCCTAACCACTCTGCCTGCCTACCTGATCTCCCCTAACCGCCTCTGCCTCAGCCCCCGCTGCCGCAGCTTAGTCCAAAAGGACATCCGGAATGACATCCAGAAAGTGGTTCTGCTGTCCGGTCTAATTAGCTTATTACGCTTTTATTATTATAGACAATAGCCCCCTTGGTAGGTTCCAAGACCTCCAGTAGATGCCTGAAACCAGGGTCAGTACTGAGTCCTGTTATACTAGGTTTTGTTTTCCCTACACAAACATGCCTATTGTAAAGTTTAATGCCTTTTCCATCTTAACTAAGAATTGTCACACACTGTGGCCACAATTTTTGCGGTTTGAGTTGCGATAGCAAAGCTAGCACGCATTTCTTTAGCCTTTTCACAATTTAATGGCTAGAAGAATCGGTCTTACTGTAGGTCTTAGCAACCACAACATCCAATTTTTTTCTTTTCTTAGTAAGTTGAGAACTTTCACCTTTTTCCTTGAAAGAAGCACTTTATGGCATATCCGAATTGCCAGCCTCACTCCTTTCGCTTTGGGGCCATGAGTAGTGAAATAAGGGCGACTTGAATGTGGCCTGAGACACCTGACAGTCCATCTGATCACCAAGGCAGCTATTAGGTGACCACTGGGCGGGTGTACATGCAGCGTGGAGATGCTGGACAAAGAAGTGATTCAGGGCCTGGGCAGACGGAGCGGGATGGAGCAGGAAGGTGCGAGATTTAAAATGTGAATTGTCGATTTCTGGAATTTCTCATTTAGTATTTTTGGATTACAGTGGACCATGGGTAACCAAAACCTTGAAAAGCAAAACCAAGGACTGAGGGCTACTGTGATCCCATTTATATACTTTCCTAAATTCATTTATTAACTTTAACTTATGCAATTTTCTAGGAAAATTGTTTATACAAAGACAGTAGCTTGAAAAAATGTTCAAACTTTTATTTCTGGGCTGTGTTTCCATTATTTTATTTCTTGGTATAAAGAGCAATTATTTTCACGTTTTCACCTGAGCACATACAGACTTGTCTACCTGTCCTCTCATTTAAAAGAGAAAACCCCGAGAGCGCCCTCATGCCTGCATTGCTTCAGCTACATCTGTCACAAAGATTCCCCGTACAGTGTCCTTAATTCAGATAGTGCTCCCTGGAACCGATGTTTTAATGGAAGGGAGAGTAGATAAATTAAAATTTTTATTCACTAGCACAGGAACGCTAGCACATAATTCCTCTCAGAATAATACAAATGAGGAACTTGTCTAGGATTTGTGAAATAAAACTAAAATGTCCCACTCATATTGTGGAGTGGGGCAGAATGAGGGATGAGGGTGGCAAGTTGATAATAATGAAAATAGGGAAAGAAAAAGAGGAAAGAAAGTGAGGAACAAAAGGGAAAGATGCAAGAGAAATGGTAGGGAAGGAGAGAAACATGGGGGCTATCATTATTCATTCATTCATTTATTCATGTGCAAATATTTATTTTGTGCCCAATGTGTGAGGCTCTGGGAATTTTAAGCAGAGAATCAAACTAGTCCGTGTGTTCTTCCGGTGGATAAAATTGCCATCTCACCCACTGAACTGACGGAAAAGAAGGTGAAAAAGTTGACCTAGAATGGAGAGAAAGGATGCGCAGTGGTATGAGCAGGACATACAGAGACTTGGTGCCCAAGGACAGGAGAGATGGAAGATGAACTTCTCCTCCTCGTGGCACAGAACTGCGTCCCCTTCCCCTCACAGTGCCTGTGTTCTGTTTCTGTTCTCATCCTGTTCAGGATAATGACCCCCTGGGCATATTGAGGGTCACACCCATGCAACCATCCATCTATCAGAACAAATGTGTGCTGGTCACTTGCATGTGCCAGGCACAGTGGGAGACCCGGGAACAGTGGTCAGTGAAACGCTAGCATTGCCTTCTGGGCATTTCACAGTCTAGTTGTGTATGGTGTCCAGGAAACGGGTGGGTAATGGTCCAGTGTTATACATGCTCTAAAAGGTGAGGGCCTGGAAGGAGGGGCACCTGTAATACTTTCAACAAGAAAGATAATTTTTTTTTTAAAGTCAGCTACGTCTGGGGATCAGGTGAAGTTCCTGGAGGAAGAGACAGCTAAGTTAACATGATAGCCCTTAAAAAAAAAATTCCATCAGAATAGACCTATTTTGTAAAAACCTTGAATTTGCTTCACAGTTCAGAAAAAAATTCAATTTTCATTTGATTTGAAAGTTTGCAAATTAGATCTCTTTGATCTGGTTTTTCATTGGTGGGTTGCTTCAGTTAGATTCCTGATTACACTTTTAAAATATGTATTAGCCCTGGCCGGTTTCGCTAAAAATCAATGGAAAAAAATGTCCTCGGGTGAGGATTAACAAGACAAAAAAAAAAGTATTCATATCCCACCCCCCAAAAAGATCATACCCATTTTTAAAAGTTTAAAGTTTCAAAAAGAAAACACAGGATTTTTTTTTTGTTCTATATTTTTACCATCCATTTTATACATAAAAAAGTATAGGCAGTACACTGTTTCAACTTAATGTGAAACAGATGCCTTTAAAGCAGTTTAGCCAGAGTGTGTTTAAAATATGTGTATGTACACCAGTTTAGTTCCCGATTAGAAACTGCAGCGTTGTCAGACTTTTGGAGGAAAAATGCCAAATTGTGTAGCTTGCGCTGGATTTCATAAAAAGCTCTTCCGAGCAGAGGGAGAGTCTCAGGACTCGAGCTTTCTTAGACTTTGCGTCCTTTCACAGGAACCTGCCTCCAGCCCTGACTGCGCCCTCCAAGCCCAGTGGCGCTGGCCCAGTCTCCCTCGCATGTCGGCGAGGCCTTTTCGAATTTAAGAGGACCGAGGCCTTCCTCCCAGCTCTCAAAGCCCCTGTGCCTTTCAGCCTTCTGTAATTTTTTAATTTGTACACAAGCTTCCTAAGTAATTCCCTTTGGCGAATGCAAGGAAGACAGGGTGCAGCGGCCCATGTTCTGGTTCGGGGCTGCTGTCCGCTGTGGGCGCCAGGAGCTGTGGCCCTGGGCGGTCCGACCTTGTCCAGGGCATCCGCTTCTGGTGTTGACCCCCAGGAACCACCGGCTGTGCCATGTCTGGCCGTGGCCTCTGAAATCAACTTAAGAAAACATATGTAACTTGACGGGAGAGGGCACACGGAAACCCCAGGCCCGGTGCTGGCTGACGCCTGGCTTTTTACAGGATGTTGGTATGTCTGTCCTTACCCACCGATATGCTCTTACGTGCTGCCCAGGTATGTTCTTTTGCAGATGAAAGAGCATCCGGGTTTGGCTCGGACCTCGCCAAAGCTGCCAGTCAAAGGCGCCGCGTTTTATTTTGAGATGTTCGTTCTCTTGCCTGTGAAGTTTCTTGGGTGACTCTGCTAACCCGACTGTCCCCCTTGTTTCTGCAGTTGATCTGCAATTCCTTCACCATCTGCAACGCGGAGATGCAGGAAGTCGGCGTGGGCCTGTACCCCAGGTATGGCATTTCACTCCGGGAGAAGCAACTTTAATCCCCACCCCGGGACCCAGCCTTTGGGGGGCAGTAGAAAGGCTATTGCAGCAGGTTGTTGGAGAGCCAGGCTTAAAACCTGATGGTAATTTACAAGAAAACGGAAAATGTTAAGTTTAAAGAAAACAACTTTATAACCCCACGTTATATGCTGTGGCAGTGATTTTCAACCGTGGGCCTCAAGGATTTTTCAAACATGCAATACCTGGCTAGTCAAGGGCACTGACCTCTTTTCCCTTAGATTCTCAGATTAAAAAATGGCAACAGCTTACACAACCATAGCTGTCTAGTGTGGCTGAATCAAAATTATACCTTTTTTTTGTCAGATTGGCAACAGATATATTCTTTGGTGCACCGCAGAATATTAGTAATCAGTTTATGTGTGCCATGGGTGACAGAAGGTTGACAGTCACCGTGGTGTTAGCCAAGAGGCAGCCCGCAGACCTGAATTCCTTTCCCGGGAACTTGGGTTAGAAGGTGGGGCGGTGGGTGACAATACCCCGTCAGGATGAGGTTGGTTAGTCCCCTCCCGCTCCCCAGCCTCCTGGCCGAAACACTGGGTCATTTCACCAGGCCCCCGGCTGTACCACCTGTTCATTCCGTCCTTTGGCTCAGTTCACTCGAGCCCAGGCCCCAGGAGGCCGGACGCTGGCCGTCACTGAGGTGGCCTTTATCACTGAGCCACTAGCCTGTCCATCACACACTCTCCGTCACTCCTAGTTTCATGCCATGAGGGTCCAAATACAAACCTCGTCACTTTGTAATTAATTGTGAACCTGAGAATCCCGCCTCTTCTCTTACATCTCACAAGTGTCGGACCGCAGGGCCATTGGCGCTGGCCTTGGAGAGCAGAGGGGTGCAGCCAGGTGCTCTGAGGTCAGACGCCTGGCTCAAGTCCAGTCCCACTCACTAGCTGAGTCCTGGGGCAGTCACCTCACTTCCACGTGTCGTTTCTTTACCTGTGAGTGCCCCTCGTAAGAACGATCATGTGATCAAACTTGATAAACATGCTCAGCTGCTCAGAAAGTGCTTTCTACATGTGAAGGCTCACGTGCAGGTGTTCTAAGTGTTGTCAGATATGGAGGCAGCTTCAATCCAGTCCCTTCCCCGGGTGGTAAAAAACGCCACCTGCAGGGAGATGAAATCACTGGCCAGGCCCAGGGTGCACCGGGTCCAGTTAGCAAGGCAACCGCAGCGTCTGCTGAGGAGGAAGGTCTATTACTCTGGTAGCTGCGGCGCCCCAGCCGAGGTGGCCGCTCCTCCCAGGCTGAACAGACGAGGTCCCGTGGGAAGGTCAGCTGTGCTGGCCGCAGGGACACGGCCGCGTCCCATTACCTGTCTCGGGGGGGATGTGCTTGCACGGCTGTCTTCTCCGTCTTTATATCGGGCTGTCTCACTGCCTGGCACCTAATGAGACAACCACTTCCTCCCCACCCCCACCCACCCCCAAAGAGGACTCAGAAAACGTGTTTATTAACAAACTTCCCCACTTAGCCTCCATCCCGGGGAGATTTCAGTGACGAGGCAGTGGCTAGAGGCCTTGCTGTGAGCGCCCCCGAGGCTCCCTCCTGGGCCCTGAGCCTCGCCTGCGCCCCTCCCCCAAGTGAATTGTATTCATTGCATGTAGATGTTGGACTCTGCTGAGCTGTGATGGTCTCCCCTTTTTTCTTCTTCTTTCCTCCAGTATGTCTTTGCTCAATCACAGCTGTGACCCCAACTGTTCGATCGTGTTCAACGGGCCCCACCTCCTACTACGCGCTGTCCGAGACATCCAGGCCGGAGAGGAGGTAAGGAGCCCTGGTTCTCACTCCTTTCCCCCAAGCCCCTCCCAGCCTGGTCCTTCCCTGACACTGGAGCCCAAGGGACAGCTTCTCGTTGTCCTGCCCAGGAGAAAACACGCCGCCTCAGCCGGCCGACTTCCCCATCGTTACTCTCCAGGTTATAGCCCGGCTGACTTTTAGTCGCCGTTTTCCTGGATGGTGATGGTCCCTAGTGTATGTGTGTGAGAGGTGTGTGCGCGACAGTGTGTGTGTCCTGCACACACGACAGTTCATGCCTCACGTTTCTGCAGCTGGTTCTCATCCTTCCATGGCATGAGCCCCCAGGGCTTGCTTATCTCAGGGCCACTCCTCACATCTCCACGGTGACTCCCTTTCACATGCGCGACAGTGTGTGTGTCCTGCACACACGACAGTTCGTGCCTCTCACGTTTCTGCAGCTGGTCCTCATCCTTCCATGGCATGAGCCCCCCGGGCTTGCTTATCTCAGGGCCACTCCTCACATCTCCATGGTGACTCCCTTTCACTTGTATTAAGAAAGCAGATCAGCTGTAATCTTTTAGGTTGTCATTGGGCCTTTACAAACCTATCGGCCTGTCTGGTGATTGTTCAGGCAAAGATGCGAAGGGAAGCAGGGCCGTGACCTCCGGCAGCGGCCTGGCCTTGACCCTCCCCTGTGTGGCCGGCCAGGCAGCTCCTGCGGATGAGGAACCGCTCAGAAGCCAGGGTCTGGGATGGGCTGCTCCCGGCTGCTGCCCGCGCCGGCACTGGGCTTGCGCAGCTGCCACCTGAACTCTGGGTTACGGATACGGACGCTGCGGAGAACCCAGTCTCTTCTCCCCTCCCAGCTGCTAAAGTGGATGTTTATGGCAAGGAAGACAGAGTGGTCATAAGATTTTACTGCATCTATACAGCACTCAGCCAGTAAAACCCAAGTATTTGATGTAGACAAGGATTTGGCCCGATAAGACTCCCCCCCAACTGATCTTCCGCTGAATAAGCTGCCGCTTACAAAGGCATTTGTGAGTTTCCCGTCTTCAGCACCAGGCCCTCGGGAGCTCTGTCAGCAATAAGAGGGGTGGGGAGGTGGGGGTGGGGGGCTGAGATTTGTTTCTGGGGCCGGACACGCCTTCAAGGCGGCTGAGAAAGGGAACCTGTCCATTGTCAGCAACTTAGTTTAGTTCTGAGGGATGGCGGCTGTCCTTGATAATCATGATTATGGTGCTGATGCTGACGATGGTGGTGTTTTACTAAATTTTAAACAAAATTCTGTTTGCTTATCAAGGTTAGAAATGATCGACATTTTCAGAAACAACAGAGACGTTTTCTGACATCTTGTTTTCTAGGCTTGCTTGCCAGGCATTCTCCTTGGTTGGTTTTCACTTAGTTGCAAACACACCTCGTCTTTTGGTGTTTATTTTACTGTTTCATGCCCTTCTCCTTCCATCTCTGGAGAGACAAGCACCACCCCTTCCTCTCGCCCCACACAAGGCGGCTCTGCCGGCATCGGGCCCTGCAGGTGCGGATGTTCTCCCCGCGGTACTTGTCCAAGCAGCTTCTCCACAGGGCGAGGGTCTCCCCTCAGCCCTCCCTGGACAAGCTTGTGCTTCTCCCGGGGGCCCGGTGGGCATCCAGGGGACCCCTGTGGACTGTGCAGGACTGTGCATCACTGAAGGAGGCTGGTGTCCGCTCAGTTATGCCTGAGGCCACCCCACCCCCGAATGCCTCCTGCACATTAAAGCTGACCCCTGGGCAGAGGCAGGGGAGAAGGAGAACCGTGAGGCAAGGCATGCCGGGCTTGGTGAGGAGTCATTTCTTTTCATTGTGCAAATATTTGCTGTCGTTAAATTGGGTAACAAGTAAATTTAGAAAATTTGGTAATTTCAGCATCAACTCTGCATTGCAGCTTTCTTGCTCACCAGGGCCTGCCCAGTTTCCTATGTGCTATGGGGATGTGAGTACCAGCCTGAGGCCCCGTGAGGGAGGAGGCACCGTGTCTGTGGCATGGACGCTCCCGGCCTGGACCTGCTGGGTGACGGGTGAGGCGTCCTACAGGCACAGCCTGAGGTGAACAGACCCCGCCTCCGGTTTGAAACTACCAGCACCCGCGGGCGGCCGGGCCCTGGAAAGAAAGTGACACGGGAGCCAGCCGTCCCAGTGTGAGAGGGAACGTTTAAGCCAGACAGGAGCTGGAAAGGTGCCCGGAAGTCACCGTGGAGGCTTCTCACCCTTTGTTTCTCTCCACGGAAACCCACCTTTGGCCACTTGGGGTCATTTCCCGTTAAGCAGCACCTAAGTGAACACTTTTCTATTTAAAGACTTTCACTGTGATGCTGAGGTGGCTGTGTTGTGAGTTTGTTTTGTTTAAGGCTCACAAGCTGGATGGCTGATGGCTGCCTCTTCAGGGTTTGCCAGGTTATGAAACACATATTATTGTCGGACAGTCTTCTAGAACGTGCATTAGGGAAGAAAGATGGACAGGCCAGGCCACCGTCATGGGACTTCCTGTTTGGGGAGGTTATCACTGTTGCCAACAATGTCATCGGCTGCCAGCATTCCCAGGAGCCCAGTGATGGAGAGAACTGTGCTTGGCAGGAGTTGAGCGAGTTAGTGTCCCTAACGTCAGGTTCAATGTAAGTGCTGGGGTTAGGACCCTGGTTCCTCACCCAGTCAGCTTTGCTTCTGTGCTGAGTCATTTAGCAGAACCCCTGCATGCCTACGGGCCACGGCGCCCAGGTGGCATCGGGACCACGAGGATGAGTAGGGCCCAGTCTCGCCTTCAGCACGTCAAGGCACAATTGAGGACACGGACGCAGAACAGAAAACCGGGGTAGAACATGTGAAGGTCAGTCGTGTCAATGTGCACAGGGCTTTCTGGAAGTTCAGAGCAGGGCACTAGGTGGTGTGAGGGGCAGGGGCGGGGCGTGGTCAAGGAAGGCTTCCGGAGCAGAGAGTCCTGGCCCCTTAAGGCTCCATAGAGTTAAAGTTGGCGAAGCCGGGGAAGGTGTTCTAGACAGACACGCAGGCCCGCGACCGAACGGCGAGCTCAGGAGCAGGAAGCAGGCCAGGTCGGTGGGCTGGAGCGTGCAGCTGTGCCCAGCAGACGAGGGAACATGCGGGGCCCAAGCCGGGGAACCCAGGGCAGCCTTGCCGAGGAGCTCGGTGCACCTGACGTTTCCCTGACGGTGCCTGGTGGACAGGAGGCCCTCAGTGAAGGTCTGCGGGAGGGAGGGGACAGGGATGGAGCGTCACTGAAGGGGCGGGCAAAGCAGCTGCATGATGACATTGTCTGTGTGGGCGCGGTTGTGAGAACAAGGGTCAGGATGCTGCAGTCCTCCAGGTGAGGCAGCGGTGGCCTGCTGGCCGGGGAGTCGGGGGTGGTCATTTTTCAGTTCAGAGCCAGTATTAGCATAACAGTGTACAACTGTGGCAGTGTCATTCCAGAAACAACAACAGTCTCCCTTTAATGTGGCCACAAGTACCCACAGCTGCACCTCATGGGAAGCTGGGATTCCTGGGAAGGGTTCCCTTTGCCTGGACGTTTCCAGGGAAGCACTGCATTCGGTGTCCAGCCAGTGCCTCCTGCGGTCACTCGCTGGGGATGTCACTGCACTTCCCATGAGAGCTGCGGGCGCGGGAGGCCGTGGTCAGTGGCATTCACCGCTGAGTGTGATTCTGTTCCGTTCCATTAACCGTCTGCTGACGTAGGCAAGTCTGACACATGCTTCCCGCTAAGTGAGCCCCACCTTCAGTGGCAGAGCCTCCATTAAAACTGCGCCAGGGAGTCTTGGGAAAGGTTTTCATCTTTGGCTGATGAAACGACTCAGGTGTCGTTACCAGTTAGGAACCTGGCTGCGTATTTCCCCAAATACGAGTAACGATGCTTCTGCCTTTGAGGCCTTCAGCTTTGACACCGTGGGTTTGTGAACTTCAATGTCACGAAGGAGGAACGGCGGGGAGCGGGCAGCCTTCACGGAGAGGCGCCTTGGAGCCCAGCCTGCAGGACGAGAGTTCTGAGCGGATGGGGAGAAGGCCTGGCGGCTGAGGCAGGGGTGCCTGGTGCTCACGGGCGGGCATCGTGCACATGGGTCCGCGGTGTGTCAGTCAGTGCACCTGATTGTGACCGACTCCGGGTGGACGAGGAGCACTAAGACCGAAAGGCAGACAGACAGTGAGCCGCAAAGCCCTTGTGTGCCTTTATCCCGGAGGCAGGGAGCGGCCATCGGAAATCTCCCGGGGATGAATGACGGATCAGGTGCGAGCACTGGGAAGGTCTCTCTCAAAGCAGTTTAGAGGCAAAAGGGCGGCTGAGGCTGCAGGGAGCCGGGTAGAAAGCCGCTGCACAGTCTGGTAATGGGTCCGGGCGGTTCCGGATGGTGGGTGGTGGGTGGTCGGTGGTGCGTGGTGTGTGGTGCGTGGTGGATGGTGAGGGAGGCTGTAGGAGTCTGTTTCCTGGGCTTGAATGAAATAAATAACTAGCCTCCTGTTGCCCAGCCGCTGCCGGGCACGACCACGCATGAGCTCCGGCCCTTGTAGTGAAGTCGTGGGTGGGTCAGCATATTCTCTGGCGTGGCAAGTCCCAGATTTGTTGGCTTCGCACTGGGCACATCGTAATCACCCAGTGAGCCCTGCCGTTGGTCTGATCTGAAGCCGGGGCTGAGGCCCGAGGGCCATGGGCTGGGTTGAGAATTAGGGCCCTAGAGGGAAGCCGAGAGGGAGCAGAGATCAGCTCATCTACCTCCTCACCTCATTGGAGGAGACCGAGGACCTGTGCCTGAGGGAGGAAGACAGGTGAGCGCTGCCCCGGCCTCGCTAACAGGCTGCTTTTGAAGCTGCTTAGATGTGGTCATGTGGAACTGGGGTACAGCGTTCTCTGTGAGCGAGAGGCACTCGCCTGACTCGCCTTTGCACCTCAGAGGCAGCCCTGGCTTCAGGTCACG